CAAGGAGGTCTTTCTAAACAAGATATGAAATTCCAAACCAGGAAGATAAATGATATATTCAACACTGTTAAAAATATCTGCACAATAAGAAAACATTAAACATGTTATAAGTGTCATCTGTGGAAAAGCACAACGTATATAATAAAGATTAATATTAGCAATAGGCAAGAGGCAAACAAGCTAGATAGCAAACTAGTCAGAAAATAAGCAAAGATATTAAAGAGTCACTCAGAGCTTAAGAAATGATACAGGATGATGAAAGTATGAAAGATTCTAAATCAAAATTCGAGAAGTGTAAACTAAATATAAATCCCTATGTAATCAATAATATTGGAAAATCTGCCACATATAGCCAATACTGATGAGTGATTACATCAGGATTGTGACAGAAGAAGGGTTAGCAGGGTAAGGATTTTCACCAGCAGGTGGAGAATCCCCCAAAGGCATCCATACAGGGAAGCTCTCTCCAGCCTTGGTCCCCAGGGGCTGAAGGAGAAGCAGGGGTTTCCAGGACCCATGGCAGCTGAAGCTGCAGGGGGATGACCACTGGTGACAACTGGGCCCCTGGAGAATGGACTGGGCCAGGTCAGTCTCATCTGGGCAGGGGTGGGGCTGAGGGAATAAATACCCAGACCTCAGTCGGCTCTACTATCAGGCACGTGCAGGGGTCTGTCATTGAACAAACCATCCAGAAGGCAGAGGACAAGCGGCCCCCTGTGGTTGCAGAGCAGACATGGAGGAGCAGACACCTGAAGGGGAGGATAGGGCAAAATGGGATTATGGGAAACTTTTCTTCTTACTTCATAGATGGTGGGAGCTAAATTAGTGTGGAATTTTATATTATTCAAGTTAGCACTATGTGTCAGATTCATTGATATTTAAACAATAAACACCTGGGGATCTGTGCTACAAAAATAATGATATATGTGAAAAACAATGGATATAAAAGATAAAGTTTTACTTGTTCGTTATGCTTCAGAAGATTGGAGACTGACGAGAATTAGGCTTGAGATGGACTAATGATTGTGCATTGAGCATTGACCCCCCTATACAGAATTTTATTGTTGTTAACAACCATTTGATCAATAAATATGAGAGATGCCCTCTCAAAAAAAAAAAGATAAAGTTTTAGCTAAAAAATGATCATGAATTTATTAGACAATATATTATTATTATTATTAATGGTTATTTTTTTTAATTGATGACATGTTTTTTATGAAATAGAACCTGGTCTGTATACATGGAACTGGTAAGATACTCAAGATAGGTTGCTGAATTAAAAAACATGCTCTAGGTAAATACTTGATTTTGGCATTAAAAAAGAAGTATAAATTACACAGCTCCAGTGTTCTTAGCTGTAACTTTATAAGTCTATATTTTAGTTTTTTATTGAGGTATGGTTGATACCCAATATTACATTGGTGTCAGGTATAAAAGAGTGATTCAACAGTTACACACATTATTAAATCTTCACCCCAACTAGTACAGTTACTATCTGTCAACACGGAAAGATGTTATAGAATGATTGACTATATTCTCCATTCTGCACTTCCATCCCCATAACCAATTTTCACTATGATTAAGAATTTTTGACTCTTTATCTGCTTCACACACCACACGTTCATACCCTATTCCCTTTCCCATGGTAACCACCAGTCACCTTCTCAGAGTCTATGAGTCTACTGGTGTTTTGTTCATTTTCTTTTTTCAGTTTCTACATGTAAGTGAAGTAATATGGTATTTATTTATCTCTGCCTGACTTATTTCATTTACTAACACCCTCTGTGTCCATCCATGTTGTCACAAATGGCAGGATTTATTTCTTTTTTATGGCTGAATAATATTCCATTGTGAATATGTACTACATCTTCTTTATACATTCATCTATTAATGAACACACTGGTTGCTTCCATATCTTGGCCATTGTAAATAATGTGGCAATAAACATATGGATGCATATATCTTTTCCAATAAAATATATTTTCTTTAGGTAAATTCCTAAAAATGAAGTTACTGGGACTTATGATATTTCTATTTTTAGTTTGTTGAGTAGCCACCATACTGTTTTTGAATTTGCCTGACCAATTGACTTTCCCATGAAAGGTGTAGGAGGCTCCCCTTTTCTCCACATGCTCACCAACACTTGTTGTTTCTTGTCTCTTGGACAGTGGCCATTTTATCTGGTGTGAGGTGATATGTCATTGTAGTTTGGATTTGCATTTGGAACATTTCTTTATGTGCCTTCTGGCCATTTGTATTTCTTCTTTGGAAAAATGTCTGTTCAGATCTTCTGCCTATTTTTTTAATTGGGTTATTTGGGGTTTTTTGGTCTTGAATCATATGAGTTCTTTACATATTTTAGATATTAACCCCTTAACAAATAAGTAATTTATGAATATATTCTTCCACACTGTAAGTTACCATTTTGCTCTGTTGATAGCATTTTTTGCTTTTTAGTTTAATGTAGGTTCATTTATTCATTTTTGCTTTTGTTTCCCTTTCCTGAGGAGATGTATCCACAAAATAAATTGCTCATGTTTATGTTTGAGAGATTTTTGCCTGTGTTTTCTTCTAAGAGTTTTATGGCTTTACGTCTTACATTTTGGTCTTTAATCCATTATGGGTTTACTTTTGTGTATGGAGTTAGACAGTAATCCAGGTTCATTCTCTTGCATGTAGATGACCTGTTTTCCAAACACCATTTTTTGAAAATACTGTATTTTCCCCATTCTGTATTCATGGTTCCTTTATCATATATGAATTGACCATATATGTGTGGGTTTATTCCTGGGCTTTCTATTCTGTTTCATTGTTCTACAGGTTTGTTCTTGTGCTAGCACCATACTGTTTTGATTACTATATCTTTGTAATATACCTTTAAGATGTTTTCATTTTCTGAACGCACTGTCACAGTGACACAGATATATAAATGTTATAATTTATTACTAAATTTAGTTATAAAATAATAAAGAGGAAAAATAGGCAATCAAAATTACATTAAATATAAATTCCAGTACATCTAATTGTTTTTATTAAACCTTACTTCCTGAGTCATCCCTAGAAAACTTATTTTGCTCCTCCTATTTCTTGAGACTTTTGAACACCCTTTAAAAGAAAACATTTGTGAAAAAAGAGCAGTTTTCTTCACCTAATCCATATTGGTTTACTCCTATTTGGTAAGAATTTCAGTCTTAGTCCTTAATGTCCTTTATTAGATATAGGAACACTAAGGGCTAAGGGCTTGTGTTTATGGGTAGAAGTGATTTGTTTGGCCAGATGATGGTGAGCATAAACAGGAATGCATTGTGAAGTTTGAAAATTTTAAACCACTCCAGTGTACAAATACTTCTGTGTCATTGTAAGCAAGTACACTTGAATGCTGGAAACTTCCATTTACTCTTTTCACCTAATATTCAAGAAATTTTGACCTGCAATTGTTCCTTCATTTCAAGGAAGTCAGAGTATTATATGACATACACAGTTTGAATGAGTTTTCCCAACTGCACAATTCTTGTGAACTTTTATTAATGGAGGATATGGAAAGCTATATTTTGATCACTTTATTTAAAAAATGATTTATCATTCTAAAAACATTTTTATCACAATCTTTTTTTCCCTGAGATAGAGTAAAAAGTCATCTTTTAAGAATATTGTTCAACACCACATTTTATTTTGTTTTATTCCATTCTGGCCCCCATGTCTAGGGCATTTTAAATGGAATCATCAAATGTATGTGTCACTATGTTCCAGCAAACCGAGGGTGACATGGACATTTCTCAATCCTTCTAAAAGTTAAGGATTCTATATATTTTATTCATTCTGTTTCACTGCAACAAAAATATTGTAAACTTCTTTTCCAATTTTGTTTCCCCAAATACTGTGAGATACTTATTTAGCTTATGAAGTAATGGAATGTGTCAAGAGTAAACAAAAATCTGTACTTTTGAAACCACTTGAGAAATCACAAGTTGACACAGCCAATTGGAAACTGGTAGATGTAACTGAGTTTGTGGTTTTATGGAACACATTCAATAAGCCCTGCTTGCCCCAGATACCCCTAATCCAGCCTGGCATTAATGTACAATCCATTCCTCTGACACTGACACCATTTACCTCATCATCCCAAATCACCTGGCCTCCTCACCTCCCATTTTGCACTTCTCAAATTGATTATCTACTTTAACATTTCTAAAATGCAGTTCTTATCATTTTACTACTGGCTTTGAAAACCTGGATCATAAAGGGGCAAGAGATGAGACTATAAAGTAAAGTAGGAAAGGAGGTACCATTCCCTGGAGCAGTCACTGGGATGCCTTTCCTATGTTATCTTTGGGCTCTTGGGTCCCCAGCCTACACCCGATCTGTGCCTTTGGGGAAGGACCATGAAGTACGAAGAATCCCGCATAAAGGCAGATAGGTGACTGTGCTGTCACAGGGACACTCAGCTACAATAACAGGAGCATCACATCTAAGGTATGTCATTTACACTGACACCAAACAGAAAACAGGAGCTAACTGAGAGAGAAAATGATTACACTTTATCCTTTATTTTCAAGTAATTTCAAATTTACAGAAAAGTAGCATGAATAATATTATAATTGACACTTACATGCCCTCTACATAGTCTCACCGATAACATTATCCCCCTTTTGCTTCATTATATCTCTTTTTCCCTCTCCCTCTTTCTGATCAGTTTCACACCTCAGGACCTTTGCTCTCTAAATATTTTCATTATGTATTTCCTAAGAATATTAATATCCTCTCACAGAATCACAAAGCAGGTATCAACTTCTGAAAAATGTAACATGGACCCAGTACAACTGTATAAATATTTTGAATACAGGTGTGTACAAAGACCTTTCCAGTTCAATGAAACAAGTCCTCCAAAAGGGATAAATGTGAGATGGCACATCATGATTTGAGAATCTGAGGAACACCATTGGCGTAAGACCATTCTCATGTTAGAGTGAATAAAAAGAAAGCATCAGTACAAAAATGTCTTACTTTATAGTTTCCTGAAAGACAGGTCCCACCCTCAACATCTTCTTCAGAGCACCCATAACATCCTTATTTCTGAGACTATAGATCAAAGGGTTTAGCACAGGAGTGAGTATGGTGTAAAAGACAGACACCACCATGTCCTTCTCAGGGGTGTGGTAGGAGCTGGGGAGCATGTAGGTGTAGACGGCAGCCCCATAGAAGAGGGTGACCACAGTCATGTGGGAGGAGCAGGTGGCAAAGGCCTTCTTCCGGCCCTCTGCTGAGTTCATCCTGTGGATGGTGAGGAGGATGAAACCATAGGAGCCTGAAATGATGGTCACAGGGATGAGCAGCATGAGGACACAGCAGAGGTACATGAGTGTCTCATACAGAGAAGTGTCTGAGCAGGAGAGCTTCATTACAGCAGGGACCTCACAGAAGAAATGATGGATCTCCTGGGATCTGCAGAAGGGGAAGGTCATGGTGACAGGGGTGAGCATGAAGCCATCCACGGATCCCAAGAACCAGCAGCCACACACTAAGAGGAGACACACCCTGTGGTTCATGAGGACAGGGTAATGGAGAGGATGGCAGATGGCTGCATAGCGGTCATAGGCCATGGCGGCCAGGAGGAAAAATTCGGAACCTACCAGTGTCAAATAGAGGAACATCTGCATCCCACATCCGGGGGCTGAGATCGTGTTCACACCCGTGACCCGGTCCACGAGCATCTTAGGCACAGTGACAGAAATGTACATTACGTCCATGAGAGACAACTGGCTGATGAAAAAGTACATGGGGGTGTGGAGGCGGGGCTCAGAGCGTATCAGAAGGATCAGGATGGTGTTTCCAGACAAAGCCATCAGGAAAACCATGAAAATGACCACATAAAGGAGAGCTGGATGCTGGGATTGATTGAAGATTCCCACCAGGATGAACTCTGACCACCCAGATTTGGGGGCCATCCAGGTGCTGTTGTCAGCCATCCAGGTGGTGTTGTCCATGAGGCATCACCTAGACCATGAACAGCTTTGGGATTAATAGGTCATTCATACAATGTGACCGACTGAGATGAATGTTTACTGACTGTGTATATTTGCATTCACAGCAAACCAGTTGTGCTAACAGGAAGAAATTTCATTGGCTGGTAAATTCTTGGATTATAAATAACCTGTAATTAAACACTAATTACCAGATATTTAATTTAATATTAATTTTAATTACTTCAATTCAACTGTAATTACCAGAGAACTAAGAATTCACAATTGTGGATCAAAAGAATTAGTAACATGTACTAAGGTTGCCATAGTTCAAGGTTATGTGATTTCCTGATATTATTGCTTGTCAACAAATACAGAGATTAGCTCTATGCAGACATCGAAAGTGAATCATAAAAAAAAGATAAAAGTCCTTATTTCTAGGGGCTAGTTGCTGTTGTAATTGTTATAGAAGTCAGACTTGAATCAACTTCTCTAGTTTAAAGATCCAACTGGATCTTCACAATTCTTGGAGATGTAACCCATATAATAAAGATTTAGAAAGTAACTGAAACATAATTTAGGTAAAATCCATATCGAAATGTGAATGCCTTTCACCTATAGGACCAGGCCATTCTGTGAGACTCAGTGGTTGTGCCGAGCAAGTCACACACCCACGAGTGCAGAACAGGGTCAAGGGACCCACGTTTAGATATCCTGGGGGCACGGGGAAGCTGCCCAGACTGGAGCTGGCCTGCAGCTGCGGTTCGAGATTATCCTCTAGCCACCATTCCTCTGCCCACTGCTCATGAAGAGAAGACAGTAATTTTTTATCTCAAGTATGGTCAGGATTAAATGAGTTGAAATAATGGAAGTCCTTAGGATATTATCAGGTACAGATGAATAAACACACGTATTATTAAAAGGTTAATATCTAGCATTTATTGTGCAGAACTGATCATTCCCATAGTCCCATACAATAGCTATATGTATACATACATATATATATAATCACAAACTTTATATAAGTAATGCAAGCTCTATATAAACCTGTTTGTCTGTATATAAATATGTTTCTTATTGTAACGTATAAGCAGAGCTTTACGGAGAATCCCATCTCAGTCCTGTCTGTCTAGCACATGCTTCTTCAGCTTCATCCCCTGAAACCTCCTACCATTTGTTCTAAATCAGAGAGAAGAACTATCATTTAGAAGGTCATTGTCATTTACAAGACAAAGCTTTACTTGTTTCCACAAACATCATCTGCTTTTGTCTATGACAATTTTTTTAAGGAAACTGAGATGTGAAGAGGAAACCTGAGCACCGATGTCCCTGCCTTCAGTTCGCTGCTCCTTCCTCTGCCTCGGTGCTCGCAGCCGGCACCTGTGTGAGAGGCTGAAGGCAAATTTACAAAAATTAAATTTGGTTACACTTAAGGAGATCTAACTTCCTTACACGGGGGGTTGATTTGGGGATAAATATTACATAAATGTGATTTAAAGTAGAATTTTTAAATACCTGCAAAATAAAAAAAAAAGAACAATAGAAGCAAAACACACCTGGTTTTATTGAAGGTGTGTTTTGAAGCCTTTAGAAATGGCTTCTTCTCTATTTCTCTTATGGAAATTAAATCATTGCAACTCTTAAAATTTCTGTCATATTCAGTGTTGAATTTTAAAAAGCCTTACCAACAAGAAGGAAATATTGTTTCCCCTCTCTAGAAAGAGTTTAGAAGTGGTTATGATGCAGGAGTATTTCAGGAAAAAATTGTAAGTTTCAAATACATTTTATATTTTTATAATATTTCAAAGACTAATAATTATAATATTCAGCTTAATAATAACCCTAACTTCTGGAGTCCTGATGAAGCAGAGAAGACTGAAAATATATGTTATGTCTTAACATAAATACACAAAAAATCTGGGAAACATTGCATGAAAATAAAATATAACCTTATGCCAAATTTCACGCCCACTAGCAGGTGAATGTTGCACTCTGTGCAAATATAAAAACATTCCAATAAAAGTGAAGCACACCTGCTGACCAAGTCTATATTTGGGGTCAAGGTGAAGCAAGGACTGGTGCAGTTACCACCTCATGACAGGACCTCAGAGATGTTTGCCATGTGAATGGAGGGAGAGCAGTGGGGCCAGGGGAGGCACTGTGAAAGTCTCTGTGGCACTTGGGTAAATGGGAATCACGGTGACCAAGCCACATTGAACAGCACGCCTGGGAATCCAGAGACACAGAGGAATGCTGTCTGCACCATGTAAGGCGATCAGTCTTCCTTTCCACTATTACTTTTCTCTACCCAGCTGCCTGAAGTTAATGGAAACTGAACAGTACATACTTAATTTGGAGAATTAATAGGTGGTGGTAGAATATCACATTTTCCTTGAAGCTGGCAGCATCCCAGGAGCCATTCTTTTACTTTAGCATATTTTATCTTCCCCAAGAACCTATGAGGTACTCATTTTATTTTATCCTTTCACAAATAAATAATTGAGGTTCCCAGGGAATCTGCCAAGCATCACATTTCACCTGAGGGAGGATCTGGGCCTCAGCTCGAGCGCTGAGACCGGGAGTGTGTGAACCCGCCTTAGATCACCGTCCCCCGGACACGGCTCTCCCTGCACAATCTGCAGCTTGGGCGCTAGCCAGCCCCTGTCACTTTCACCTTGGAAACAAGAGTATGACTGACACATTTGTTTCAGTATTCTATCAGAAATAATCCCCACTCAAAGAAAAATGAGTCATTTTTCTTCTGTAAAATTCCAGTATCAAGAAAACAAACTCTTCATTCATTAATACAGGAAGAATGTATATTCTTTTGTCCGTAGAAAAATGGAAATAAAAACCCATATCATAATATGTTGCAATAAGTAAAACAGTCAAGAAGAAAATAAGCATATTTGCATTTCTCCATAAAAGTAGTTGATAGGGGAAAATGGAGGAAACATAATCGAAAATTAATAGAATGTGTCAGAAGCAGAACAAGTTAAAAACAGCGATTACCCTTCTGCTCCTGCGGCTCTGTCTTGCTGTCTGATCGAAATGTCTCCATCAGACACCACAAACCTCACCCAAAGGGGCTAGCGTAGCATGGCCATGGCTGCCTATATAAAGACAGACAGGAGGGTGACCTCATCCTGGTTTTAACTGGTTTTACTGTGCTCATTAGGGAAGTAGCTGAAGGTGTTCTGTTAATAAATCCCCTCTGGGAGTTGGAAGAAGAATGCAATTAAGAGGGCTAAAAAATAGGTAATAGATACCTCTGTTGCACTTTTCTGGTTTTCTACTCATTTCTTTTTTAAAGTTTCCTTTTTTCTATTATGTAAGAAATCTTAACCAAATTAAAAATAACCTCAAATCAATAAAATCTTATCTATGATATAGATATTAACTTACATATGGCCTTAGTCTTTTACACATTACAAAATATTTTTCTTATAAGTGCATGTACATATCCTTATTTAGTCTTCAGGAATATTTTCTGAGGTATTGATATTCTTATTTTTCACACATACAGACTCTGGAACTCAGTCTGATTGATGTCAAAAACAGTACCACTCATCGTGGTGGTTGTAACAAAACCTGAGGTGTTCTCCTGTATGCTGTCATCTGGATCATGCCTCACCAAGTTCCAGATTGCAGGCTTATTCTATCATTTTCAGTTTCAATCTGTGTTGCTTTACTGTCACATTACACTGTAGGGTATTTGTCTTTAGCTTAAATTTTGACATGCTAATTATAGAAAAATATAAAAACACAATGTACTACAAAGTAAATTTTAAAATAAACCATAATGTAGTCTCCCAGACACAATCATACTTTAAAAGTTAAAAGGCATTTGTCTTTCTCCACCTGGCTTATTTCACTGAGCATAATGCCTTCTAGATCTGCCCTTGTTGTTGCAAATGGCAGGATTTGTTTTTTATGGCTGAATTACCATGGGAGAGGGTTTGGGATGAGGGGGGTAGGAACTAGAAGTTACTATGCTAAGTGAAATAAGCCAGGCAGAGGAAAACAAATATTGTATGATTTCACTTATATATCGAATCCAGAAATAAAAATAAAGCAAATGAAACAGAAATAATATAAATACAGAAAATAAACTGGTAGTTGCCATAGGGGAGAGAGGAAGGGTGGATGAGCAAAATGAGTGAAGGGGATCAAGCGGTACAAACCCCTCATCCTGAAGGGGATAAAAAGCACAGCATAGGGAATATAGCCGATAATATGGTAGTAACTTTGTATGGTGACAGATGGTAACTACACTTAGTGTGGTGAGCATTTCATAATACATATCATTGTCAAACCACTACGCTGTTCTCCTGAATCTAATAGGATATTGTATATCAACTCTGCTTCTATAAAAATATAAAAATTCATCACAAATAAATAAACATATTAAGATTAAACAAGTGAAATAAAAATCTGGAGAAGTAGTCCATATGAAAGGTATGAAAGGAGACTATAGTAGCATAAATAAGCATAATGCGCTATTCTCAGTTGAATTTGAATCAAAATTGAGTAATTATAAAGATCTTGCTGTATATTCTTAGTCAGTAAAAGTCTATCTCAGTAATAAAAGGCATATTCAGACAAACCAAAACTAAGAATTTTACCCCCATATGCAATAAAAAATGAAGAACAAAGAAAACAACACATAGGAGGAGGTAAAAACAACATTTATTACAAAGACAGCAGTCTTTGTAATTAGGGTTTATTTATAATTAGGGTTATTTCTAGTAAGTGTTTCTTTATGAAAAAAGAGAGATAAAAATAGCTGACATAAATAACACATAAGGTGGAAGGGAGCAATATGAGTTTAGATATTTTACATCCTACCTACCCTTTACATAAGGTAAAAGAAAGTTTTAAGTTAAGGAAAATAGAGAAAATATATTCCTTACAAGTCTAACCTAAAGAAAGTTTGTTAACCAGAAAAAAAAATTAGGAAAGAAGGAATTAATAAGGACAAAGAAGTCACTTAAAAATAAAATATACTATTGGATTTAAAAATT